CAAAATCCCAAAAATCCAAATATTGCAACCACATCACATCCTAAACATCAACATTTGCTTTTTCAAGCCATTGGTTCATCTGGTTCTGTACACTTCCTAATCAATTCGGTTTTGCTTCACGCATTCCGTGCTAATCTCGGTTGTGTAGGTCATCAAATCACCCTGTCGGGCCCAATATGCCGTTCAAAAAACTGCTGATTCATATCAAAAAGCATTATAGTAACAGATATGGTCGTGCCGAATACTGTCATCGCTGTCAGTAGTGCCATTATCATCACTATAATTTAGCCATTATATTCCGAGTCACCCAAATCTACCATTGTGCATAGCTTCGGGGTGGAAACCAAAAACCACATAGTGCTAACCCATCAATGAGCACCAATTAATAATTACCCGACGGATTGCTCCGACAAACGCTGCTCCCTCCATATCAACAAATACGGCGGGGACGTTCCAAGTGATAATTACAATTGGCTAGCTATCAAAAGCCTATCAATGTGTGCTGCACCGATCTGTTCTGCCCGCCGAGTTATTTCATCGGGTTGTGCTCTCACAGATATCCGGTTCTTGGATCCTTCCACACTGAATAAATGACCCTGTTTAAGTCTCGTTATTTTTCTGATTATGCCAAATGGTTTGTTCAAAAACATTGCTTTGGTAACGTCTCGGCAATTTAATATTACTTGGCCGTTTTACATGTCAATTATCGTCGTGCCATGACCATACATTCCAGTCTGTATTCGTCACCAATATCAATCAATGGCCATTCATCATCACTTTATACAATGCTATACGTTATACTGTATCGCATACTGCCGGTTTGATTGCTGTATTACCATCCTGTCATCAAAACTGTATCTAGTGTGTGTTGCTGTAGTGATCATCTTTTTGTACGCATTATAATGTCCATGCTCCATTGTTGTTTGTGCTCCATTCACTGTTGATCTGTACACCATTGTATCCGCAATCATCGTACCTCCATATCCATATACATATACTTACATATCGCTTGCATCGTCATCATGTACTGTGCCATTGAATTGCAGTGTGTTGTCCATGTGTGGGACGTGCGTTTTGTACATGTTCAATTACGCTTGATCATTACAATTTTATTGCAATCATTTGTAGTCCCATCAGTAACACTCGGATTGTATCCATATTTCAACTGGTTGTGTATACAACATGTATGCATGTTACTGTCCAATATCACAGTGATCCGACCACCATCATACAGTGTATCATGAGTGTATCATGAGTGTATCATTACCCCACAATGCGTTGTTTTTTTGCATGATTTTGTGTCGTATTTCAATACTATTCAACCGTTTATTTTGACCCTATACAACAGCCATTGTAACTCTGTATTGTTACCATATTGTTACCATATTGTAATGTGTATATACATGTCATCGAGTCAACCAATGCAGTACTGTATAGGCATATGGCTGCATTTGCATCACCACCCAATATTCGTACAAAAAAAACCCGGCAATTGAGCCGTAATCCAATGCATACGTATGCTGATCACCACCATAATTGACCGCTGCATTAATATATCCGCATTCGGACACTCCAAACGTCATACTAACCACTCGTGTCTGATATTATCCGGACATTCGGACAGGATACCATGTCTGATATTCGGACAATATATCCAACTTTGTCAATATTGATGCTATCGTATTGATATATTGACCATTGTAATATATATACATGATATGTATACAGTCCAAACCACAGCGCAATAAGTCGTGTTTTGAGTGTATACCGACGTGTCCAATTCGGTCGACAGTCGTGACTATAACATGTTGTTAGTTTAGTTGACAACATGCCATGATGCATGTCCAATATATAGTATGTATATACATACATGTCCAGTATCAATCGCATGCATGTAGTGTCATTATTCATCGAGATACACGCATTTCCAGTTTCATGTCAAATATTCGTGCTATGTGCAAGTTGTATTTTTTACATGTATCGCATGTCAACACATGCATGCATTGTACATACCAATGCCATGTGCATATACTGTAGCAGTTTCATGCAACTAGTGTCACTATTGACGACGATATACGACATCAAACACGCCAAAACGTCATTTTCGGACTTTGGTCGGCCCATTCCATGTCAGATATTGACCATAGTGCGTCAGTGACATCATAATTCGATCCGCAACACATAATTACATATATGTGGTGCATACCAAGTCATTTGGTCGACTTTTGTGGTCATAGTCGATATTAAAGTTTTTAGTTTGCAATTGGTTTGAAACGACGAGCTCTACTTGTTATTTTAATCTAGTATCGTGTCTATCAGTCAATCAACAATTTATCTTGTATGCAAATGCGTCAAAAATACATGTATTATATCGTTCTGATTCGATATCAGTTGGCATTGACACTGTACGACCACTACTGACCAAGTTATTAACATATTATCGACTAGCTCATACTGTCCCAGCATGTCGTCAAGAAAACCATCATATATTACAGTGTTGTGCCAACAAACATGCATGGATTGCATTGAAACTGGACATGATACAATATCAAGTGTATACATGTATTGTCATGGCATCAAACTGGCATGATATCATGTATTGGTTGTGTAATGGACCATAATATATGCCAACAAAACGCTCCAAATCAGGCATGATTATAGTCGTAAATATATTATTGTGACTGTGTTGTTGGACAGTGACTATCAATGACTATCAATAACTACTAGTGACTATCAATAACTGTCAATGACCATCAATAACTATCAATAACTGTAAAAACGATCAAGGTTTGTAGCCTGACAGTGTACAATCGAGTTTATTAAATCGTGTAATTCTGGTCGTTATTCGACTTTACCCAACACTTGAACACTCGATTGTTGCATACAGTTTGACAGTCGTCATACATGGCCATGTGTATGCTGTTGTATAACCAGAGACGCAGTAGTGTTGCCATGTGTTGGTTGAATCGACATACTCGACACACACCAGTCAATGCAGTTTTGTCCGAATCCCTATTTTTGTTGGCTGTAGTTTTGCACAAACTTGAAACAGTCATCGTAACAGTGTTACTGTCATTGTCATCAAGCTGTAGTATGTGTAACTGTAGTATTGGTTGAGCTATTGACCATGTATTCGAGTATGAACGACTGTAGTTTTTTACAAACAATTGGTCAAACAACTAGTCAGAATACAGGTCAAACAACTAGTCAGAATGCAGGTTTGGACAATCGTCAAACAATCGTCAGAATACTGGTCAGAATGCAGACTAAACTAATCAAACAACAGGTTGAAATGCAGGCTAAACTAGTCAAAATACACTCGTCAAACACTGGTCAAATACTCGTCAAAATACTCGTCAAATACAAGTCAAACAACTGGTCAGAATGCAGGTTTAAACAATCGTTAAACAATCGTCAAATACTGGTCAGAATGCAGGTTGAAATGCAGGCTAAACTAATCAAACAACAGGTTGAAATGCAGGTCAAATACTCGTCAAATACACTCGTCAAATACTCGTCAGAATACTGGTCAGAATAACAGTCTAAATACTAGTCAGACAACTGGTCAATATGTGGATTAAACAATCGTCAAACAATCGTCAAATACCGGTCAGAATACTAGTCTAAATACTCGTCAAATACACTCGTCAATTAAACTATACAGTGCATTTGATATTCATACATTACACAATCAATCGTTAGTAAATATGCCAGTCATCGATATGTATTGTAGTCAAATGAATGTATCGGCCATTGTAACATGAATATATGATGTGTATACAGTCCAAACTACAGTGTAATATCGTGTGTTTTGAATGTGTTCCAGTTGCATCCAATTCAGTCGGCAGTCGTGATTATAACATGTTTCCAATTTAGTTGACGATATGGCCTGATGCATGTCCAGTATATAGTATGCATGTATACTCATGTTCAGTATCAATCGCATGCAACTAGTGTCACTATTGGTCAAGATATATCCAATTTTGGTATCATGTCAAATACTAGTGGTAAGTATAAATTGTATATTTTTTTGTAATTTCATGACAATACATGCATGCATCGTACATACCAATGCAATATCCATATACTGTAGCAGTTTCATGCAACTAGTGTCAGTATTGGTCAAGATATTCGACATCAAACACGTCAAAACGACACTTTCGGACATGCATTTGATGGCCATGATACACATTGATATACTGCCCCAATGACAACGTAATCATATACACAATACATGACTGTATGTGTGCCATACATTGCAGTTGATTTCGACATTGTATGACCACTGTAGACCGAGTTATTAACACGCCAAACATCGACTATAATATCCAACCTACAAAACGTCAGCTATTTAATTATTGTGTTATCAAACATGCATGGATTGTATTGAAATTGTACATGATACAATACCAAGTATATACAAGTATTGTCATGTCACCATATCAACACAGGCTTGAGTATTGGTTGTGAAATTGACCATTTAGTACGCGATTGTGATGATGCAAATGGTCCACTTTGAACATGTATAACTTGACCAATACCAGTTATTTACCAGCCATATTTAAACTGATTGTGTATATAGTATATCACCATTGATTGAGCATGCATATGCACGGTTTGCAGACATTTATAATTTGTGTTGAGTGTGTTCCAGTTGCATCCAATTCAGTCGGCAGTCGTGATTATAACATGTCTCCAATTTGATTGACGATATGGCCTGATGCATGTCCAGTATATAGTATGCATGTATACTCATGTTCAGTATCAATCTCATGCATGTAGTGTCAGTATTGGTCAAAATATATCCAATTTTGGTATCATGTCAAATACTAGTGGTAAGTATAAATTGTATATTTTTTTGCAATTTCATGACAATACATGCATGCATCGTACATACCAATGCAATATCCATATACTGTAGCAGTTTCATGCAACTAGTGTCAGTATTGGTCAAGATATTCGACATCAAACACGCCAAAACGACACTTTCGGACATGCATTTAGTGGTCATGATACACATTGATATATTGCACCAATGACGACGTAATCATATACACAATACATGACTATATGTATGCCATACATTGCAGGCCAGTTGGTCAAGTTTTGCGACTATAATGCATGTTTTTGATTGCAAATTGACGACTGATTTGGATGGTGTTTTGGATATCGTGTATAGTTTGACAGTTTGTGCGTTCTATACATTCCAGTATATCAAACATACTGTAGTTTGTCGTCCCGAGTTGATTGCAGTTGTCACTGACATTGTACGACCATTGTAGACCGAGTTATTGACACGCCAAACATCGACTATAATATCCAACCTACAAAACGTCAGCTATTCAATTATTGTGTTATCAAACATGCATGGATTGTATTGAAATTGTACATGATACAATACCAAGTGTATACAAGTATTGTCATGTCACCATATCAACACAGGCTTGTGTATTGGTTGTGAAATCGACCATTTAGTACGCGATTGTGATGATGCAAATGGTCCACTTTGAACATGTATAACTTGACCAATACCAGTTATTTCCCAGCCATATTTAAACTGATTGTGTATATGGTATATCACCATTGATTGAGCATGCATATGCACGGTTTGCAGACATTTATAATTCGTGTTGAATGTGTTTCAGTTGCGTCTAGTTTGACCGGCAGTCGTGATTATAACATGTTTCCAATTTGATTGACGATATGGCCTGATGCATGTCCAGTATATAGTATGCATGTATACTCATGTTCAGTGTCAATCGCATGCATGTAGTGTCACTATTGGTCAAGATATATCCAATCTTGGTATCATGTCAAATACTAGTGGTAAGTATAAATTGTATATTTTTTTGTAATTTCATGACAATACATGCATGCATCGTACATACCAATGCAATATCCATATACTGTAGCAGTTTCATGCAACTAGTGTCAGTATTGGTCAAGATATACGACATCAAACACGTCAAAACGACACTTTCGGACATGCACTTGATGGTCATGATACACATTGAATATTGCCCCAATGACGACGTAATCATATACACAATACATGACTATATGTGTGCCATACATTGCAGGCCAGTTGGTCAAGTTTTGCGACTATAATGCATGTTTTTGATTGCGAATTGACGACTGATTTGGATGGTGTTTTGGATATCGTGTATAGTTTGACAGTTTGTGCGTTCTATACATTCCAGTATATCAAACATACTGTAGTTTGTCGTCCCGAGTTGATTGCAGTTGTCACTGACATTGTACGACCATTGTAGACCGAGTTATTAACACGCCAAACATCGACTATAATATCCAACCTACAAAACGTCAGCTATTCAATTATTGTGTTATCAAACATGCATGGATTGTATTGAAATTGTACATGATACAATATCAAGTGTATACAAGTATTGTCATGTCACCATATCAGCACAGGCTTGCGTATTGGTTGTGAAATAGGCCATTTAGTACGCGATTGTGACGATGCAAATGATCCACTTTGAACATGTATAACTTGGCCAATAACAGTTATTTCCCAGCCATATTTAAACTGATTGTGTATATGGTATATCACCATTGATTGAGAATGCATATGCACGGTTTGCAGACATTTATAATTCGTGTTGAATGTGTTGTATGTGACCATTTGAAACTCGACTAATTGTGGTGTATTTTGACATGTATTTTGACTGATGTTTAGCGTCTGTTCATGTGTCATTGATGCACCATTGACATGCTGTATTGTCCAACATTATGTGGTGATGTTGCAATCAACAAATTGGTGCAACACTGAATGTATGTGGTGATTGTCGAGTATCGAGTTCATCTAGTTGTTTCTTGGTGTTTTCAATATCTATAAGCATCTTGTTCATAATTCCAAGGTATGTGTGTCAATGGTCTTGTTGCTCATAATGTGTATTTGCTATTAGGTTATCAACTGTTGGTAGTTGTGGTCTGAAGTCGCATGGAACATGTCAACAAACTGCGTATGTTCTTGTACAATTTGCGATATTGCATTTGTAAACAATGTGTCAAACCGACGTTGAAAGTGGTTCCAAATTGTCGATTGGTGTTTTGATATGGATGGAAATTGAAGTCTAGCTTCCATTCCACATGGCGTTCTAAACGCTTTGCAAAATTCACAGTAGCATGGTTCAACAGAGTGTTGGGTATTGGTGTATATCAAACACTGTGGGATTTGAAACCTTGACCAGTTATTGAGGTGACTGTGGTAAAAGACATGACCTGAATGCCACTACACAATGGTTGGTTGTACACTCCAGTGTGCGTTGGTTGGTCGAGTAAGCTCTGATATGTTATTGTTGTATCAAGTTGTATCAAGTTGTTATACAACAAACTATCAACGTCAGAAATACAGAGTCAAGCTGATTAAACTCTGAAAATGAGCCTCGACTATAAGTGTTCAAATCTGAGATATTTGACAGATCTAGTCACTTGTTCAACCATAACCATCATATCTTTTAGTTCTGGAACCAAAACAACTATGTCGAGTGGTAAAACAATTGTTCTTGTCACAGACGTTATGCTGTATAGTTATGGGTCATTTCATTGCTGCTGTTTGAGATTCTGTCATGCCAAAGTCTTGGGTTTCAGTTTGTAGTCAAGACATTCTGAACTTGACAAAGTGTTTAGTGTTTCCACTCTGTACACTCTTTACACTGTAGATTTGTCATTATCAGACTCTGGACTCGAACAAGACATTGCAAAGTGGATATGTGACAACCTCGTAGAGTCACCAACACTCGGACAAAGTGATATTGGTAGTGCTCGAATGGACTTTTACCAGGCACACATCTGTCAGCCAACTATTTCAAGCATCTTGAAATGGAACAACACATACAGAAAGCTCACTCTTGTAAGCGACTGATGAATTGGCATGGAAGAGTTTGTCAAGTATTGAAAACATTCGCACAATAGAATCAAATATTTGGATTGCAATGGACGAGTTGGGGTTTAAATTTGGTGATTGTACAATGTATGGCTACACAAACAGAGGTGAAAGAGTACAGTCCAAAAACAACATTTCAGTTCAAAACTATAGTCTAATAGTGTGTGTTTCATATGACGATCAATGTGTTGAGAGATTGATCAAGGCAGCAGTGAATGCTGTAATATTAACTTGTTAAACAATGACATGCAACATTCCCAAACGGTTCCAAACGGTCACTTTATTCTAGACAACATTCCATTCCACAAAACAACTCTAGTTAGACATGGTTTACCAACTATTCAACAAACAGCGCGAGGTTTGGAACTACACTATACAGCATCATACTGTCCATTCTTGAACCCTGCTGACAATTACTTTGGTGTTTGGAATGGCTGTGTGTGCTGAGCCATTTCAAACACCAAACAACTTGTAGCTTCAATAAAACAAATAATCCATTTCCAACAACAACAACAATGAATATGTAACGATTGTTTATTCCAAGACAATCATTACAAGATCAATACAGAAAAGTATTTGATTTTACGTGAATACGACTGTAAAATAAACTTGGGTGTTAAACCACAAGATTATCACATGCAAGCAAACCATACGAGTGTATTTTGGCAGTGCTACAAGTTTGTTGACCAACTCATGTATGGCGATATCAGCACAAACTCGACTGATCAAACAGCCATGTATACACATTGTTGTCAGTTACATCGAGTGATGGTCCAAATAGATCGATTCAGATGGGTTGCATATAACTGACTAATCCAGCATCCATCCATTGTCAAACAACCATAATGCACAATACCACCAAGTGTGCAATCACATTCGCACTGATCAGTCATTGCACAGTATGCATCGGTCAATGTCAAACATATGTGTGTATGCAACTAAATTGCAGTCCATGACACACCCACACGATCCAACATGACAAATCATGTATCATGAGTCCAAGATTGATCAAAAATCTGATCATGGTAAACACAGCATGTTGTTGCATATCAGAGTCGATATATCAAGTGACAGTTGCACACTTGCTGATGGTGCACAGCATATCAGTCACAATACATGCACGGTATTGCATTGTAGTCATTGGATGATAACTGGTTGCAATGTGATATCGATCGACATACATCAGCATGGTGTGATGTGACCATAACCATGGTGGAATGTGTTGGAGTTGACAATCGATACACCATGCACATGACTGGAACATATATATTCGAGTGTGGTTTGGTTGGTGTCAGATTGATCATGCAATCACATCGGTGCAACGAATGAACAAACTGATGGTGATCTGGACCCATTTCAACAACAAGGAGTTGACAGTCATGGATTTGCATGCATCCAATATGTGTAGCACACCGAATGATCAGTCATGACAGCACATAGTAGTTGATTGGTGCAATATGATCAAACCATTAGTATAATACACTATTGTTTGACAATACAGGATGTTTATTGAATGAATGACATTGGATGCATGGCACATGACAATTAAACCAGCATGCAATACACGCTGCATTACAACATATACTGGATGGGATTGTGGTTTACTCAACTCCAACAATGTAACGAATCTGGTCCAAAAGCTTATTGCCAAACACTAGGATCTTCAAGGATCGCACCATACTTGGATCTTGGTAATCGTTGAAGTACACCATTGTAGAAGCTACGGAAGCAACTTGTAAATACAGGGTATCTATTTAGATACGGTCCACCACCAGTAATTATTTCTTCACTTGAATGATGTTCCATAAAGTAGCCTTTAAGTTGCCTTCGTAATTCGGTAGTTTCCTGACATGTTCTTGAATGTTTCTTGAAGAGTATACTTAGACCTTTCCTGAGTTTCCTGGAAGCTTTATTGTGGCTAGTAAGCGTAGATTCGAGTTCGACAGTATCTGACTCGGTGCTCAAAGGATCATTCTTAAAATGGTCAATTTCTTTCTTCAGCTCACTGACCATTTTCTTTCTTTCGTCGATTTTAGCGTTTTTCTTGCTAATATCTTTCGATAGTCTGTCAAGTTTACGTGAATCTAATGCAAGTAGTTGGATCATTTTCAATGCATCAAAACTAATCGGATAGCAATTATTCATATATACAGTATATGGATCCAAAGACTTTGAATGACTAGTCCCGCTAGTTGCAGTTGCACTAGGAGATGCTGACAAAGTGCTGGTTGCAGTACTTGTAGTCGAACTGTCAAGAACTGGATTGGCAACAGTGACCGAGCAGGCAAACAGGATCGATGACAATATGGCGATCGAAAGTTTCATTTTTACTGGTTTGGTCGAGCAAGTTGTAAATGATTGTCATTTGGCAGATTGATGTTTAGTTTTATTTATATATTAGTGTATGATATTGCAAGCATGATTTTTGAACGACCGTCCTAAGCAGCTTGTGTTATTGTCAGGGTAGTTTTGAAGGGAGTTGCGTTTACATGATGATTCGTTGTTCAAACTGAAAGTCGGTATTAGAGTTGGGTTCATTAAAATGTGCTGTGCAACGACATCATGCGGCAAGTATATTCTGATCATCACAAGATGGTATTGAAAGCTCTGATGTTCAAGTGAAGTGGTTACTCATCAACATGCTGCACAATGATAATATGCTGTGAGTATGCAATATCAGATCATATTAGTGTTCATGTACATCATTTCGATTACAGAAAGATCAATGTTATGCACTATTAAATAAATAGTCAGTTTTATTATATCCATCAACTTGCTAATTTTGTATTACACGTTGTTTGACTGCTCATTCCCATTATGGATACATCAACTACAACTGATCAAGTAGTCGTGCCTGAACACTCACCACACTGTCAAAAGTCACGCAACAACTCTCAATAAACTCGACTGAATACAATTCATTGATGACAAACTGATATTATATGTATTTCTAATGTGGTGTGTCCATGTTTGATTGTGTGATGTGTTCAAGCCATGCATGTATTGGATCAGTCCAGTGTGTATCGTAGTTGTTTGGTGCACGATGATCACGCATACTATTGCATTGGTAATACATGGTATTGATTGAATACACATTCCAAGTGTATCAATCATGGTATGGATTGTTTGAATCCATCACTGTATATCTGGATGATCATGTCGATACTAGATACGCAATATCAACAGTTGAAATATAGTATACTGCTGCAAATATCATGACTATCACATTCCATTGGTGTGTGATCATATTGCACCAATTGACCAGTATACGATTAATGTATACATCAACATGTGCATAATGATCATATTGTTGGCATTGTATATTTAACATGTGATATTTGACACACTACAAAGTTGATACTGCGACTGATGTGTGTGATCAGTCAGGCTATTGATGCAACCATTTTGACACCACAATCAACGAGTCAAACCAGTCAAATTGGTCGGATCTGATATCAACACGCATGACTATTGTTGGTATTGATATTACATGTGTCAATACGACATGTAAAGCAATATCATATCGACACAATACATACATGCATTTCAGCATCATCAATGTGTACAACTATGCAATATACAATCAACTGTATCGTATTGGAAATACAAGTGTCAATGTACAATATGATATGATACCAACCAAGACTGTGTAATAATCAAATATAATGCATGCACATACAATTTTATTGTAAATTAAATCAGAAATACAGTTGTAGAATGACAATTAAATCGGTTGAAATCAGTCCAGATTAGCATTCAAATCAATTGGATGAATCGTCATTTTTGGATCGCTGAAAGAGTGATTTCAATCCATTCATAAACTTGGAAAAACCTTTCCGTTTATTGGAAGGAACTCTTTGTTCAAAGTATCCAGATCCAGATCCAGATGGTGTATCCGGTGATGGTTGTGAATCTTGACTTTGTTGATCACTAGGTTTTCTGCGCTGTTGCTGATCACTAGGTTTTCGACCAAGACTCTTGTTGTATTTTAATGATTGTTTTTCAAGGTAGCTTCTAATGAAAGGATTTGAGTTGATATCATAAAGTTTGCGACCAAATAATTTAGGATTCCAAGATTCTCCAAAAATGAGATCCACAAGCTCTACATTGATTTGCTCTACTTTAACTGTAAGATAACTATACTTGGACTCGCAGCCTTGAAGACTTTTTTTAAGATTGGCAAGTTTGGATTTTTGGATTTCAAGATCAAGCTTAGTCTTTCGAATTTCAACATTATATTCTGGACCGTCACCGCTTGTTTGAGATATATATCCCAAAACTTGAATCTTTTTTTTCAAGCGCTTTACCAGTTTATGTTGATGGTCATATTGAGGTTTTAACGAGCCATATAGTTTTTCTTGTTCATCACGGCCATGTTCTAGCTCTATGTACTTGTTGAGCAAATCCTTGATGATGTTTGGAATTGGATCAAGACCACCTAAGCCTATACCGTTTGGATTATGAGTTGGCGAGGTGATAGACTCGGTGCTTGTAGTTGCACTGGGATCAACTGGATTGGCAATAGTAACCGAGCAAGCAAGCAGGATTGATGACAATACAGCAACTGCGAGTTTCATTCTACTGGTTTGGTTGAGCAAGTTGCAATGTCATTCAACAAGTCGGGTTTTGGATTGTATTTATGTCGGTTATTGAGTGGATAATATTAAAAGCATGTTTTTGGGTAGCCGTCCTAAGGGTTAGTGTTGTCAGGGTTCAATGGTGATTTGCCATCAATGCCAAACTTTGAAGAGTCTTCCTTTATATGATATCCGCAATGTTGATTGAGCCGCTATTTGATCATACATTCGAATATCATGTGGTTGATTATAAAGCTTCACTCTGAAAAGGGTTAGGGTTGAGAAATGAGTATAAACCAAAACTGGAATAAGTTGACACTCGGCTATTAGTTGGTCATCAATATGTGCCGTGATATTCCATGCTTGTTAAAATAGCAAGTGATTGGCATGATTCAACGTACAAGTAGTGTATAATGAGCATCGGATGATACTGTTTTACTTGAACAAGAGTGCTAAATCCGTTGGAATAAATGTAATTTAGTCGTCTATTTCTGTACTACATTTTACACCCTCATTGTTACACAATATCAAATGTCTGCAAAAAACAGCTGGAAATGGAATGCGTTTGTGGAAATAGGAAACACCATACACAAAATGACAGCAGTATTGCGTACATACAAATCAAAGTATGATATCATGATTGTCAACGGATTGATTGAAAACAACTTTATATCCAACTTGCCCATCAACAACCAACAACTGCAAGATTCCTTTTTGCCAATATCACAGTATCTGGATGGAAATACGAAACCGATTCAAACTGCTGTCAATCAATACTGTCATTCAACACTACAAGGCTGACATTGACAAGTTGTCGAGGTCTCATTATCTCCAAAGAAAAACGGAATCCAGACCAGATTCGCTTGGAATGTCAGCAACAACTCACTGTTTGTTGCTACATCAAGACTCGTCAGTACAGACCCACACAATACAATGTAAAAGGTATCAGGCAACCAGATACAAATGAACTGCTCGTCTGCAATATGCTGCATCATATTGGAATGGGTCCTGAAACTCGTTGTATCATTGCATCTCACAGCACCAAAACAGTCTACATTGCTATCAAGTATTGCCATGTGGTGCTATTGTCCGAGTTGACAAGGATACAGCAAACAATACCCAACTTTGATTGGATTTGATATTTCGTATCCTGTGTATATGCGATTGTGCTGTCAACTCATCAAACTGCGGTCAAGTCGATGATAAAGCAATGATTGTCGACTTTTGTATCCAAAAACAGTCAAAAGATTACATTAAAACAGACATTATGGACAAACTCTACAAAGGAAATGGTAAATTCCATTATTCTGGGTTGATACAAATCGCAGTCAAAACAACAAACGCTGTAAACATGGATACGATGAACAAGTCGATGTAGGAATGGAATGCAAGCTGCTGGAGAGTATTGAGCGAGCCGAATCGGAGATTGATGGATTGGTTTAAAATGGGGTAATGGACTGATATTTGAAACGATTTACAACGATATGTCCATGATCTTGAAGCAACAGTTGCAGTTCTAATGGAATATTTTGTTGGTAGTATTCATCTTCAAATGTAGGCATATTGGTATCCAGCAACAATGGAAAATGTGTAATATTACAACTGTAATGTCTGGACAAGTGACTGTCTGAATAACAGTAACTATTTCCAGTGATGCTGATTTGTAAACACTCAAATTATTCAACAACACTCTATCAATGCATTTGAAAAAGTGATTGTACAGAATATTCGTGTTGGTTTAGCATCTTTTTACGAATGGCAAACTTCAAATTATACCAAAAGGTTGGATCAATCCAGAGATATGGCCAAGTTATTGGATACAATGGAGGCAGATAAAGACTGGGCAATTTTTAGAGCAAGCAACTGTGATCGATTTATTGACCAAGACAATGTGCCCTTGGTTGATCCTGCAAACATCATCTATGACGGATGTGACGATCTTGCCATTCGCGTTGTTCGACAAGGATCGCTACTGCGCAAAGAAGGTGTGTTTAAACGATCCTATCGGCCCATCAATGCTGTCCTGTCCACTTCTGGATATCTGCATACTCTGCCACCACTTTCATCAACACCCATAGGAGCTACGCATTCTGACACTTGATCTGCAGGCGGTCCATTCTCTCCTACTGGCAACAAACCGGATTTTTCGGCTGATTCCATACTTGAAATGCCTGAGCTGACGCTTGATTTGGCAGAATACACCTTGCTTCCACTTAATCTTGGCAATAAAGATCCCAAAGACATTGTTTTTGTTGGGAAAAACTCGGGTATGTTTGGACGAGATATCAAACACAAATTCAAGGGGAAAACCATGGTTGAAAGTGCGGATTGGTGGACTGCAATCAATGAACATATGAAACAGATGGGAACACGGACTTCAGTTGGAACACCCACTACACAGCACTCAAAACCAGCTTTTGCTGGTACTGCTCCTTTACCAAAAGAAGGTGCAGATGGATCGACTGGACTTTCTCAACGCGCTGCTGCATCTGTAGCTACTGCGAATGCTCCGTCAACGTCACTTCAAGCTCGATTGGGAGCCGTTGTAAGTCATAGCAAATCCAATACGATTCATGCTACTTCTGGTACACGACCAGTGAGTATGCCTGCACCACCTCTACCTGGTCGACCCAAAAGTACTATTGTACCTACATTGAGACCCAAATCTGAATCGCTTATCGACGAATCATTTGATGATTTGCCTAGTAGGAGAGATTCGTTATCACCTCCGATTTCTTTTACAACTACTTCAAATGATCAAATTCCTACACCTGCTCATGTAGCTGATTTTGCTTCATTTCCACCTCCCGACACAAGTGACAAGACCGAGGTGGGCAATGTATCTGCTTTATCATTAAGTGAACAGATGGAAATGAAATTAAGCCATGCTACAAGTGGTGGTCATTCTCATGATGATCCGGTTGAACTGGACACGCCATCACCCAAAGCAAAACTAGCTAGTCTATCTACCGGAACTAGCAATCCATGGGACACATTTCAAGACGAATCGGGTGGTTGGTAATGTCGTATATGGAACTCGTTCAATTCTCTACAAAGCTTATTGTGGCATCTGCCATGTTTATTCAACTATTAAAACCTTATTTACCAAGATAATTTGTTTTTTAAACTTGAAAGCTATCCAATGGAAATTAGAGGTAGAACATACAATAGCTCAATTATTTTATTGATTTGGAAAAAATAGCAATGATTGTTGTATTCGGTAGTATAGCAATACTCTCCAAAAAGTAGCAGCAACATAAAATACGGAATAGCAATATCAAAACAGGTGGTGAATATAAAAATGGTAGGGTACGGGAAACACTCTATTTTTGAGGAGGCAATGGAGGCTGTTGGCTAGATGTGCCAGTGGAAGTATTGGGCACAGAACTGGCAGCAGCAGCAATACCAACGGTTTCATAAACCTGACCCAAGATCCGCAAAGCATCAGCACGTCGTTTACGTAACTCGGTCGACACACCAGGTGCATCTCCGAGAGCATCGTCGCATACATCGCGTAGCACAGATTCAACTTCTAATTTGGATCCTCTCCACAAAGCTTCTAGTCCCTTTGTTGCCGCTTCATATTCCAGCTGCGTGCGGAGTTCTTGCTCCTGAGGTGTCAGTTCGACTTCGACGTCCTCATCAACAGTCTTTTCACCTCCTTCACCTGTTTTTTTTGTTTTTTTATCCATTTCTTGAAGTTTGGTGAATTTGCTTTGCAGATCTAGAGCCGTACGAAACGTCCCGACCGTCTCGTTTAAAATGTGAGTTTTTTCTTTGATAGCTCCGCTTACTCGAGACCCAAGTCCCCATACTCGATGCCATAGCACAGCACCCCCATCCTCTGCAGCAATTTTGGCAATCCACTGATCAGCTTTTAAAACATAGGTGAATCCAATCGCTCTCAACAATTCGGGTCCATAGCTTTCCAAAGCAAGTTGTTGAGCTTCGATAGTAGATAAAGCACGAAACGTGTCGAGTGATTCGTTTGCCAAGCTATTCAAAGAGATCCCCAAAAGTGGAGAAGAAGTAGGATCAGGAAATGGAAACGCATCAGTGTAAAGCGAAAGCTTGGCAACAAGATTATGCGACAGTTTCTGAATACGTTCTTTACGAATCAAACGACGTTGTTCGTACATCAATGCCGAGTCTTGTTTGGCTTGAGTGGTAGCATCTGTAGATGGCACTTCTGTTCCCGAGTTGATGGTAGAAGAGTTGGAGTCAGTGGTCAAGTCATTGGATTTGGATGGATCTTTTGCAGCCATGACGTCTTTAAAATCCCGAGCAATGGATATTTCACCAATGATATCAACAAACATATCACCACCAAACTGTTGTCTGAAGAATTGTTCTGGATCGACAAACACAGATCCTTCAGAACCCACTGCAGCAGCCTTTCCATGAATATTATAAAATGAACGACGCTGTGGATCCGACAAGACTAAAATTTAAACATTAGTATAGTTTTTCTGGATACACATGAACCATCAAGTCTGTACCTTGATAAGCTTCAGATATTTGTTTAAACATTTCTTCAGCCAATGGATTGTCCAAGTTTTTATCAGGATGACACTTTATAGCCTTGAGATAATACGCCTTTTTGATGACAGCACTAGACGCCGTAGCAGGAATCTCCAACAAATCATAATATTCCATATCGATCGGATGGTCATCTAAATCAATCATGAAATTAGAAGACAAGAATCATCCTTTTTCAAAGGTTTTACAATTACCTGAGCCGGTTTTTCCAAGAGTAGTTTTTGGTCTGCGACTGGAAGCATTGTTGGTAGATTGGTCCGAGGCATTTGTAGTTTTTTTAGCAGAAACAGATGGAGTCTGTTGAACAGCAGAAGTTGGAATAGAACAAGTCTCTACAAGAAAATCAAACCACTCTATAAACAGAAAAGGCATAAGCTGGAGTAGCAGGAAGATAGAATTCAATGACTACAGAACAGTTTGGACACTTTGCAGTGACAGAAGGTTTTGGTCTCCTCGATTCAATAACAGGAATATGAGTTGAATCGCTCATGTTATCAACAACCAAATCTCAGCAAATGCAAAATGGAACACTTGTGTTGGGTTGCGATTTCCTTGATTTTGTTGGAATAAAAATAAATCGAATATTCTTGTTGAAAATTGACTTGATTGATATTGTTGGAATTGCAGGCTTACAAACTCATTTTTATTAGAATGTCAGCAAGAGTTGTTGCACAATACAAAACTGCATTTCGCGATATTATTGTTGAACGGTTTAAACCAGATTCAATAGTAAATGTGTCGTTTTGTTGATTCAAAAATGTATATTTCGTAAATGAAACTCATCTTCAATTGTCTGATTTACAAGTTGGTTTTGGAATACTTGAAATAGTACCGCAGTATGTATTGAACAGTGGAAAATGTAAAAAACAATAGTAGTATAGATAGGGCACTGAATGATACTACTCTTCTTGGTAGATGCTCTCTGCTAAAAGTTGTTCAAAGTGTCTGGAGTTGATCTCGCCTGTGACAGGTGATTTATGCTAAAATGCTATGAACAATCAATGTCAAATATAATGGTCAAGACTCGGTGCTTTATTCATACAAATAATTGTCTAATTCATTCCAACCCAAATGTACTATCTCAAGTACTTTCAACCAGACTAAGGAGCAAGTTTGTTTCTTCCATTCGAGCAACAGGGGAGCAATTTCGTGTAGAGAAGCCAAAGTCAATGATATATGGATTCCCAGATTCATCAATCAAGATATTCTCCTTTTTGATATCGTTATGTAGAATACCGGCCTCGTGAATGCTTTCGAGTGTTTCCAACAACTTCTGCTTTTGCTGTTCAGTGAATCCATTGGCCACCGTACCACAGATAGAAACACCTACACAGTACAGAACGTCCTCCACAAACCCATGACAAACGAATCTAGGTATGCCATTCCCTTGTAGCCCCGATAGCTGTTCATACACAGAAACCTCATTCAGCAATTCTGGAAGCATTTCTCCGTGCTTGGCAATATCAGCAACCTTGAGAGCAATACGGCTAGATCCATAGTAATCCAAATACACTTTGCTTCTTCCTTCACCAAGAACTGTATCGAATTTGAAATCATCAACATCAAAGTCTTGGGGTTGCTCGTTGATTTGAATTCCAGACGACAAAGAACTGCATCCTCTGGAGAGACTAGCACGCGGAGATACCCTACTACTACTTGGTCGAGAGATTTGGGTAGCATAACTAGCTCTAGACGGACGCTTTGATGCGGGGGGAGAATCCATATGATTGTGATTGACGATGCTGTTGAAATACGATAAGCATTGTTGAACAGTGGGTGTTCGAACAGTAAAGGAGATTCCCTCGGAAACATACAAAATTTCATGACTTCGAGGTTCTTCACAAACGGCACATTCTTGATTTCGATGAACAAACCAGGTGTTTTCGTATGACGACAGAATCCCATATTGTCTGTGGTTCAATCGCATATAGTGGTAGAGTTGGTCAAGAGCAGACGCACGTGTTCTTTCTGTGTCGTATGAATTGACGATATCACTGGTAGACAAAGCCCAATTGCCCTTTTCTTCAACAATAGCGACAACCTCTCCATTTCTAGTCATTAAATGATCTGGTTCCCCTACGCAGCTTGTGATTTGACGTCGTGCCTTGAATTCAGAAGGAGGAATGAAACACTTGGCAGAGACATCGAGCAAATTGAGCTTGATGAAGGGTTGAAGACTTTGAACTTCTTCGGTGATAACTCTGGGAACAAACACAGGTTTTTGTACTCTTTGAGAATGCTGATGATGATTAGCACCAATCCAATCAACAACGCTTTGCTTAAAATCAGACCACAGGAAAACATGTGTCGGCTTCTTCCAAATTCTGCCAGAGGTGTTGGGTCTTGATACAGGATTGTCATACACCGGTTCAGGAAGAGAACAAACCATATGCTCGTCCATAGTGATAGTATCTCTTAGAGAGCGAATAATCAGTGGATGGTCGTAGGAACCAGTAGGTTGCTGAATGGAGGTCAGGAGAGTATTCCCAGGAATAGCAGGTCCATCAACAGCAGAGTGGAGAGTGAGTGGCCCATAGTCCTCTGGGATACCAGCAAGTCTTCTAGTTGGTTCAACAACGATGGCTGCAACCAAGTCACCAACGTCAGTCAGTGGTCTTTTTCTTTCTAGTTCTCCATTGAAGTGGGTTTCGATTTCCACTGGCTGATAGTCCAGATATTTAATGTAAAACCTTTCATTTTCCATTGGAGTTTACTGGAGAGAAATGAAAGAATTGAATGGAATAGAATAAGAATAGAATGGAATGGAATTGAATGAAAAAAAGAAAAGAAAAAATTGGACTTTAAATCCAAAACTCGATATCATGTGAATAATGTGAGACAAATTCACACTTTGAATAGTGTTTAAACATTTGTCATGTGTTTATTTGTATTGTTCAATCGAGTGTCAATTCAACTCAATTGATTACGTCATTCATATAATGACTCGAGTCTTTTATTCAACATTTTAATATTCAATTATTGTTAATCAGTCAATTGTTGGATTGGTAAATATGTTACAAAACATTCATTTACATGCTGAATCTGACAAGTGGATAATGATTGTTCCAATCAACACATGGATTGAATTGACTGCAATATTGTCATTGATCTCAGTCACTGTTGACCAATACATTGTAATACATTGTCAGTTTTGACATCAACATTGTCATTCATGTCAAGTTGTGTGTAGTTGCTAATATTACACCACAACAATACTATCAACTTTCAATTCCTGTGATACACCGTTTCAACCATGACCGGATCGATGTTGATCACTTGTCAATACACGGGCCAGTTGTATAATCGTACAACTGTTGGTTAACCAATGTTTGACTGTCGATATTTGAATCATGAATATTGTCCAACATAATCGTCACTAACATTGTCGTTTGATTGCCTTGTTCTATGAATAATCATTGCAATGTCATTTGTTCAGTTGTTGTTGGTTTATTGAAACCATGTCACAATTCTTGATATATTGCACATGATCTTGTAATTGTTGGTGTTGTCTGTAGTAATTCTGTCAATGTATACGAATGTCACTTGTTGCTAATTGGTAGTTGTTTATAATTAATACACAACCGATCAGGTTTGGTGACCATTCTATGCACATATATATTTGACATCATACCAGGCTGTTATGTTGTTTGATCCAATAGTAGTATATGTCAGTCATACTATAATACTACAGGTTTGTTGCAATATCCATACAACCTATATCCAAAACTGCACAAACACTGTCGTTCAAGATTGATGAGTATACAATCACAAATGAATCCAACGCATTTTTGTTGTATATAGTTGTATTGAGTGTCGTGTTTGTTGGCTTGACTAGATCTGATATTACACGGGCTATTCAACAATTGTATTGAATTCCGGTTAGTATCGAGTCGTTTGAGTCGTTCAAGTAGTCAAGTTGCTTGGTTTGCAATGTGTTGTGTCCAGGAATCACTTGCAATCAAACCATCACCAAACCACAAGCTAACAACACCAAATGATATATGACTGGTTATATTAACACATTGCAAACACTCGACGAATTAGCCATGAATCAGGTTCAATCATCAATTGCCAATATTGTCAAAGTGTGTATTCCTGGTTTAGTTGATGATGATCCGAGTATGCGGTATTCGTCACAGTTTGATTTGGTCCAAACAGGTTTTGTAATGGTTTCAACAATATCTGATGAATGACATGCTACAATCGCAGTATATTGATATTACCGCATGATACAACTGTTTGGTTGACCAACCGACTCGAATGTTGATGGATTACTATGCCAATCGACTGTTTTGACTCGATATCACCACACTTGACATGCCAACACATGCGACATATGATGGAGTGTGTAATTGCAGTTTGATTGATTCAATGTTGTGTTACGACATGTGTTACAACATCAGTCACCATGTGTAATATAGTTTGTATATCCAACAACACATTAGAGTGATTGATTGTCGTTCCGATCGATCGAATGTCAATGTGTTTGTACAACAGTTTGGTAAAACCGACTGTCCATGGATTATTATCACACGAGTCAATGCTGACCTGATTTGCGATATTCAGTGTTGTTGGAATATCAACACAACATCAACACCAAACATCAGATCGACACTGCACGTTGATGTTGATGGATGCAACATGAATATTGAAACAATGCATCATAATGCGTACAAGTCGCAGATTGCAGTTCAAACTCAATGCAAAGTGCACATTGTTACAGTTTGGTCATGAACAAAGCGATACGCACAATGTGCAGTTCATGTCTACGACTCGATTGATTTGTAGACAACGACCATTTGCATTGTTGAACAGTAAACTGAACAGTAAATGACCATCAAACGCATGGCTTGGTATCGACATTCAAGCAATCACCATGATTGTAATATTTGTAAGTTGTCCACAAGTTGTTTACAAACGGCCATCAATTGACAATGACATGCATGTGTATGTGCATGGTTGACTATACAATATACTACATGAACCAATATTACTGGCTGAATACAGATCACAACTGCAAGTATCCATGTGATAATGGACTGACATTGGTGTTGATACCCAATTGATTGACTAATCGATCATCATCAATTGCATCAGTGACTGGTATATGCAACTGATATACACCATGTCCGAGTTTGATACATGTCGATATATGCGTGTCAATCAGCAATGCATATTTGTGGCCATTACAATTGAATGTGAGTCGAGTCGATCACTAAACCAACGAATCAATGATTGCATTCTAATTGACCAATATCGAAGCGGTTGATGGCACAATCTACATCCAACTTTGAACAAGTGTATTGCTCCGTTTGTTGTACAATGTACGACATGATCAGTTGGTGGTATCATGCAACTGACAAGTGATTGCAAGTATGACTGATAGTTACAATCAACACTGGTTGTTATCAAGTCATTGATGTATATGGAACAAACCATGTCAATGTATCAATCAACAATCCAGTAACTGTTGATGTAATACCAAACACAGTATGCAATCAATGATATGGTTGTTGACCCATTCACGATACTCGACAAATACCAACATATCAGAAAGCTTAAATTTATTCAAAATCAAAATTGGATTCATTGACAAATCATCAATCTGGATCTGGCTCATCAAATTCCAAACCATGCTTTTTCATGTAGTTTTTCAATTTATATCTGACACTATGTACTCTCTTGTTTATCTTCTTATACTCTTGTTTTAATTGCTTTTGAACGTTTGGATTGTATCTTGATCCAGATATTTCTTTTCCCATTGCTAACGTCATTTGTTGTTCGAATTCAAGGTCTACATACCTACGATATTGTTGCCATTTTTTCTCTCGTACTACTTTAAATGCTACAAGTCTTTTCTTCATGCGATTAAAGGTTCTCTGATATTTTTTGTTCAATCCAGTCACTTGATTTGGAACAGTATTAGCAGACTCATCTTGTTCCATTGGCTGTTGTTGGTCTTGACTGGGAATATTTGGATTAATTATAACAAATAGTGGTCCCCAATATTTGCCAGAAGTACTTGGACTGGGTTCATTAATTGGGTCTTGACTGGGAATATTTGGATTAATTATATCAAATAATGGTTTCCAGTATTCGTCAGAAGTACTTGGATCGGGTTGATCAATCGGTTGTTTTCGATCTCGTTTTGGAGCACCACTTGGACTGGAATCACTAATTGGCCGTTTCCGACCTTGACTGGAAGTGCTTGGACTGGGCTGATCAATCGGCTGTTGCTGATCTTTGTTGGGAATATTTAAATCAGTTGCATCTATTGGGTGTTGCTGGGTTTGTTTGGAAATACTCGAACTGGTTTTATCAGCTGGTTGTTGTTGGTATTTATCAAAAGTGTTCGGACCGACTTGATCAATTGGGTCAGAAACTTGACTGGGAGTACTTGGGATGGGCTGTTCAATTATGGGTTTTTGGTCTTGTTTGAAAATATTTGGACCAGCTACAATCACAGTTGGTCGTTGACTTTGATTAGGAATATTTGGATTAGGTTGATCCATTGGTTGTTGCCGGATTCGGTTGGGAAGACTTAAATCCATTGGTTCTTGCTGATATTCATCTGAAGTGTCTGGATTGGGCTCATTGGTTGGACCAGACACTTGACTCAAAGTGACTGATGCTTTGGGTGAACCATTGTTATCAGCCGGTATCAGTATTGCATTGGCGGTTGCTGCCGCAGTCAGTACGAATAAAATATCAACCAATTTCATCAGATTGGTCAGTGTGTTTAAACAATTAATACAAAAGTAGAGTATTGAGACTGGTGTTGATTAAAAAACTGAACATACTCGATTGTATTTGTATGTTTTATATAGCAAACCAACCCTTTTAGGTTAACCAACATCACAGGGTTACTTGATTGCTTGTAGTGAGCAACCATCAAACTAGACAGTATGCTGCTCCCTATCCACAATATCATATTGATCAATTTGATGATCATGTCGATTGAATTATGCTTTTATGACCCTTTGATCAGGTGTATTGAAAAGCACCCTTCAAGAGTGTTGTATGGCCGCAAACGCTTTGTTTTACAACCATATTCATGTAAATGGATCACTCCAGTATTCATCATGCAGTGACTGTATTCTGCATTGCAGTATACAATAGTTACTACACATTGACTGCATTGCGTGTTTGATATACAACAATCATCATATGACACACAATCAGACTATAATGTTGAATCTACACTTTGTGCACTCTTAGTAATCATACATTGTACGATCACCAAGTTTGAACCCACATTCATGTATTGTGTTTGACTGTCGATGCTGTCAATACAACTCTATACACTCATTTGTTGTGTCCATCACCATCCAACTCAATCTCACCATTTCAATCAATCTTGGTCAATGTTGATGATTTACACGCTAATTCATTATCCAATCTTGTCTGACATTATTATTGGCTTTAATCACATTTGGTTTATACAACTGCCATGAGCTGTACTACCATTATCATTGTGTATCTGAACACCAAACATTCCAATACATCAATAATACCACAGTGTAAACAGTAATACAGTTGATCAGTATTGTGGCAAGACTTTTCATTCAAGTTTGTATTTGGAAATACTCGATACTGAGCAAATGATCGATTATGTTGTACAAACGGGTTATTAGCAGTGAATGGGTAATCAACCAGACTGTTTACAATGGAATCAGACTAAATACATACAATACTGCCAATCTATGCAACAAACATGTATCGACCAAAATAACAGACATTCTAAAACCAACCCGTGATAAAGGACGGATTGGGTTGTCATATATGGCTGCATATTTACCAAACAGATTCAGACCGTACCATTATGCATGATATCACCCTGTTGTAGTTCAGTTATATCCGCAACATTGTGTCTAGTACACATCCAACCCTCGACGCGCCAGAATAAATTGAAACCACTTGCCAATAGATTCATGGCGCTGTACTAGCGTATACGCTTGGTCTGATGGTGACTAGTTGTATGCCAAACATGAGAGCATCTGGCAGTCAGCCCTAGATGTTGTGCACATTTGGTGAATACAAGTACAGTTGGATATCACGGATGGCAACAATCGATATGACAGTGGACACTATTGGACATGTACACTGCAATGTGACTGTCAGCAACCATCACCATCAGTGTGTATCATGTGTTTAAAAAGTACTCGCATGCATTGGATTCAACACCACGTTTGTGATTGGGTTTGTATTGATTTGTATTGGTGGTGTTGTTTTGCATATATCGGTAGATTGTGTGCTGATTTGAATGACATGATCATCCATTGTGGTTCATGTACCACGATGACAATCCGATCTGTTGACACGGCCAGTTTGTTGAACGACCTGCCAATCTCCAATTCAATTATAGTACAATGTCACTCATTCGGTGTAGCAGCGACAGATTGCCGAGTTTGATGTTGATCATGTTGTGACACAATCAGCAGTGTTTGACGTATACAGTCTAGATTAATCTAAAATGATTGTGCAGTCATACCAATGGAAAAGTCATGGTTTTGAAATACTGCAATAACAGGTTGTTTGATGCTGTTGTGTCCGAGTGATCCAAAACATGACCAATTGAACAATCAGTCAAATATTTGGTACAGTGACAGTATATGCTGTAGTAATGGAATGTATGTGATGATAACTATCCATAATCAGGGTGACAATTTGATACTATCTGATTATTAGATACATCGCCGCAATTGGAGAGATCATTCCAGAATATTACCGAGGTTGATTATACACTATCAACAATGCTTGTATATTGATCCACCCTACAGGGTGTTTTTGGGTTTGTTCACCCTACATGGTGTATTTGGCGTTTTCTAAATATTCATTTGGAGATTGCTGATTGTCACCCTTAAAACTGCCGTTGTTATAAAACGGCAGTCATGTATCAGATTCAATTCATTTTCATCACACTACTCGATACAATGTTGATTACTCTAGAATGCGTTATACTTGCGTTACAGGCGGTTTCTGCAGTTCGACTTGCATTAGAATCACCAATTGAAATTGACAGTCAATCAAATAATAGGCTGTCAAAACGATCACCCGTTGTGTTGGGTGGTGGTATTAACAAATGCTACACAATGAAAGTCAATGTTAATGGAGTCGGTGTATGTATCATGTCATGCCATTTATTGTAGTTTGATATCAATTTGTACCACGCTGAATCAATCTCACACTTGTTTAAAATAGTTGGGTTTACGAGTTGATTCAGCGGTTTCTGATACAATCGTACCACTTTCTAGTTCAAGCAACGATGTGAGTTTGACTCCACAACACACTCCAAGTGGGGAGCCCGTTACTATAGATTACAAAGGCAAAAAGTATAGTGGGATTAGTTCCACAGCCGATGTGACGATTCCAGGTACTGAAATAACTGACATCAATTTACCAGTAATAGCAGTTGGTATCGATCCAATGTTCAATGGAGTATTTGGGTTTGGCTATACCTTGTTGTCAAATCATCACTCACGAATCACTGCGATGGATGCTTTGTACAATGGTGGTATTATTCCCAATAACGAGGTTAGTCTTCAACTATGTCCGTATGAAATGCTTTCAGATAGCTTCATCAATATAGGAAACACGGAAATCACTGCAAAGTGTGGAACGGATGGAAGCAGTGTTGCATGGGTAAATTCACCATCAGACGATCAGTTTACTGTCAACATCAAGAGCATACTAGTCAATGACAAACGAGTGAATCTACCTGCTGGATTCCAAAAAAGGGTGAAAGATGGACGTACTTTGTACTCCGTTGTGGAAACATGTTGTACATGTATGCATTTCCCTAAAGTAGTCGTGAAAGCGTTGATCAATGCTATTGTTGGTAGTGGTGCGATCACTATCAAAAATAACATGTTTAGGCGCAAGTTCGACCAAAGAGATATTAATAACCTATTTTGGAAACACCATCTAATGGTTGAGCCCAAACTTAATATCGATTGGAGCAAGCTACCGACGCTTTCAATTGTAATGTATGCTCAAAACCCCGTAACTGTTGACAACTACAATTCCATTGTAGAGATCACACTGGGTCCTAGAGACTATATGCAAAAAATCGATTCTGAAAGATGTAAATATTTGACAATGTATGCAATATTTGTTGTTTGAATTAACCCGACTAATATACATGTTGAATTGTAGACCTGTTTGCTGTAACAGTTGGTTCAAATTACAATGCAGCTCTTTGTATACCATTTATGACTCGACTTACAATGATATTTGATCGAGCACATAAACGCGTTGGGTTTGGTCCTGGATGTGGATGCGAAGTCTCGACTGATGGATATCCTATTATTTCAAACAGTGATCAAGTACTCTGGTCACCATCACAGTAAGTTGTTTAATATTGATGTGTGGGTATGTAGATTGATACTGATCATGCATTTGATGTATGCTGTTAGATTGCCTGAACAACCAAGTACTTCAAGTTCAGATGGCAGATCTACTCTCGGAAGATTGTTGTCGCGACTTGGTAGTAGGCGGTCAAAGCCTAATTACGAGAAATTTGAGGACTAAGTAGATATATCAATAAAACTGGTTATTTGTTGAATGAGTGATGACCATGATTATTTTATAGTTGGTATGATGTACATCGGGACTCTTGGTGTTAATAATCAACTACGACTGATCAAGCAGTCTTGCCTGAACACTCAGCACACTGTCAAGAATCACGCAACAACTCTCAATAAACTCGACTGAATACAATTCATTAGTGACAAGCTGATATTATATGTATTTTTAATGTGGTGTGTCCATGTTTGATTGTGTGATATGTTCAAGCCGTGCATGTATTGGATCAGTCCAGTGTGTATTGTAGTTGTTTGATACACGATGATCACGCATACTATTGTATTGGTAATACATGGCATGGATTGAATACACATCATGATCGCATAGCTCGATCACGATCCAATTGACATGAACAGTCAAGTCGTGTAGTTTGGGTTCAGCTTGACACATTTGTATTGTCAATCTCGGACAAAACATCAAAAGTGAATCAAGGTCAACTGGAACAACCAACAGACTGGATCTAGTATGTGTAGTCGCACTGGGTTGCATATACTGATTACAGTAAACAACTCGAGTGTCATTTTACTGATTATGGTTAAGGTTATGGGGACATGCCAGTGTTTGATACATACAGCATTACAATGATGGGTCGGCAACAATGTGGTGGAACTGGATGTGCAATACCAAAACCATGTCAAGAATACGTGATATAACGACAACTTGCAGCCATATTGATGTAAATGGACCACTAAATAACAGTGTTGGTGTGTAATAAACAGTTGCATTACTGACATGTGTCATGATTGTTGTTGAACTAGATTGCGATCGTATCCGTGATTCAGAATACAACAAATGTGTGTACAGAGTTGTATTGCAACATTGACAGTCAAACACAATACATGAATGTGGGTTCAAACTTGGTGACCATACAATGTATGATTACTAAAAGTGCACAGAGTGTAGATTCAACACTATAGTCTGATTGTGTGTCATATGATGGTTGTTGTATATCAAACACGCAATGCAGTCAATGTGTAATAGCCATTGTATATTGCAATGCAGAATACAGTCATTACATGATGAATACTGGAGTGAACCATTATACATGAATATGGTTGTAAAAAGGAGCGTTTGCGGTTACACGACACTCATAAGGGTGCTTTTCAATATACTTGATCAAAGGGTCGTAAAAGCATAATTCAATTGACATTATCATCAAATTGATCAATATGATATTGTGATTAGGGAGCACCACACTGTCTAGTTTGATGGTTGCTCACCACAAGCAATCAAGTAGCCCTGTGTTGTTGGTTAATCTAAAAGGGTTAGGGTTGGTTTGCTATACAAAACATACAAGTACAATCGAGTATGTTCAGTCTTATAATCAACACCAGTTTCAACACTCTACTTTTGTATTAATTGTTTAAACACACTGACCAATCTGATGAAATTGGTTGATATTTTATTCGTACTGACTGCGGCAGCAACCGCCAATGCAATACTTCCTCCAGCTGATAAAGATGGTTCACCCAAAGCATCAAGAACTTTGAGTCAAGTGTTTGGTCCAACCAATGAACCTGATCCAAAGATTCTCGAAGAAGACTGGCAAAGCCTAATGGATGAAATTAATTCAAGCATTCTCGACGAAAACTGGCAAAACATATTTGATCCGATTGATCCAAGCACCTCTGATCAAGAACAGCAACAATCAATTGATGTAGCCGGTCCAAGTATTCCCAAACGAGGTCGAAAACGGCTAATAGATGTAGTTGATACAATCACTTCTTATCAAGACTGGAAACAACCAATTGATCAACCCAGTTCAAGCACTTCCAGTCAAGTATCTGGTCCAACTGATAAACCCGATTCAAATACCCCAAAAAACTGGAAAGAATTATTTGATAAAATTAATTTAAATATTCCCAAAGACTGGCGACACCCAATGGATGTAACCAATCCAAGCACTTCCAAAAGAGGTCGAAAAAAATTGATGAATCAACCTAGTTCAAGTACTCACAGCCAAGTATCTGGCCCAATTGATGTAACCAATCCAAGCACTTCCAAACGAGGTCGAAAAAAATTGATGAATCAACCTAGTTCAAGTACTCCCAGCCAAGTATCTGGTCCAATTGATGTAACCAATCCAAGCACTTTCAAACGAGGTCGGAAAAAATTGATGAATCAACCTAGTTCAAGTACTTCCAAACGAGGTCGGAAACGTCCAGTTGACAAAGTCAAACCTGTTACAAATCAAATGATTGTATTAAACAAAAAAGATCAGAAAACCTTTGATAGCCTAAAGAAAAGAATGGAAGATTTCGAAAAAATACTAAAAGAAAAACGTCGAGCTTACTTTGAATATGCAACCTTTAAATCAGGACAAAGATTAGCGTTAACAATAGGAAAAGAGAGATTTGAATCAAAGTACAGCCTAGAGGTTCAAAAGCAACTCAAAAAAGAGTATCAAAATGCACATAAACGATTAGAATATACCAGGAAAAAACTAAAAAGATTTATGGAAGAGCATGATTTGGATTGATGACTTGTCAATCAATTTGATTTTGAATAAATTTAAGCTTTCTCGTGTTGATATTTGTCTATTATTGTGAATGGATCAACAACCATATTATTGATTGAATACTGTGTTGGGTATTGCATCAACAGTTATTGGATTGTTGATTGATACATTGACATGGTTTGTTCCATATGCATCAATGACCTGATAACAACCAGTGTTGATTATACGTGTAACTATCAGTCATACTTGCAATCACTTGTCAGTTGTATGGTTGCATGATACCATCGACTGATCATGTCGTGTATTGTACAACAAACGGAGTAATGCACTTGTTCAAGATCGGATGTAGATTGCAACATCAACTGGTTTGATATTGGTCAATTAGTGTTGTCAGTGTGCAATGCAATATATGCGGTGTTTATGCAGCATGGCATTTGTAGTGGTGTATTGACAGCCGTATTCATCATGCAGTGACTTTGATTTGGAATATACAATGGCTACATATCCGGTTGACTGCCACTACATATTGACTGCATTACGTGTTCAATATACAACGATCATACATTGTACGATCACCAAGTTTGAACCCACATTCATGTATTGTGTTGGACTGTCAATGTTGTCAGTACAACTCTGCACACACATTTATTGTATTCTGAATCACGGATACGATCACGATCTAATTCAACAACAATCATGGCACATGTCAGTAATGCAACCATGCATGTCAATCACCACCAACAACACCACTGTATTGTCAACCATGACATGACACTGACTGTTTATTACACACCAACACTGTTGGTGTTCCGTTTACATGACTAGACTGCAAGTTGTCGTATTTGTTTCTGTAGATTTGAAATTGTTAGTAATCGAGTTTTGACATTCAATTCGTGCTGTTTTTGTATATTTTTGTATATTGCTGGACATTCAACTCAACGTCTTGTTCCAAAGTAGACATGTGTTTGATGTCATGTTTGTATAATCGAAACAGGAATCCAGTTTGCCAACTAAACGCTGCAAGACTCTTGACAACCAGTCATGTACAGTATTGAGTCGGATGTTCATACTATTGATAGCATGACAATTGACAGTTCAAGAGTTCTGTTGAAGCTTTTCTAATCATTGGCAATACTTTGAGTTTGCGTATTGAAAGTATTACAGTTGGCATAAAGTATTGATACTGCTGATATGACCATCAATCCATACTGCATTGAACAGGACTGCAACACAGTATCATATCACTAGATCAAGTGTTGAGGCAGAGTCGTTTGAAGGATTTTACCATTAATATTTGACCAGCTGTTGTGTGGATAAACTGTTACCCTATACTGACCGTAACCTGAAACCAACTGAATATGCAACTCATTTCAATATATTCTTTAGTAAATGGGTCAGGGTTAGCAGCCCTTGACTATGAGTCATGTTTCATTCAATGGTTGAAAGGCTGTGCATAAAAGAGTTTACACATGAGTATCTGTGCTATATATACCTAAATGGCGGTCAGGTTGTTGCTGTGTAAGCTTGTATATCCCTTATGCATTGAGTATGTTTTTAACCACCATAAAAGCATAGTGCATATCCACAACTGGCTCATTCATTACCAAGAATTGTCCTACTAATCGACAGGATTTATCACATTCATTCTCGTCAACAGGATGAAATTCATATCGACTATTGTGTTGTTGCTATTGTCAGTGACAGTCAGTGCAGTAGTCATTGATCGTCCGTCTGCCAGCGAATCAGAATCTGTAAAAGAATGTTCAATACACATGCAGCAACACACTGGTATTTGCGCTTCAACTGGAACAGAGCAACAATCAACTGAATCCAATCATGGTGTAGCTCAGTCGACTGTAGATCCTGATGATTCAGACAGTTCTGTTGAAGAGTCCAATGAATCATCGTCATCCTCTCAGTCCAAACAGTCAGATGATGATATATTTGACAACACACCATGCGACGACGCATTCCCTCTCCCTAAAAGCTATGTCCCAGAGAATGAACGGTATATTCCCACACCTCAGCAAAGATTGTCTAGAGTCGAGGGTTATTTGAAGCTAGAAAATATGGAAATTCCAGAAAGTGTTGGAGACGGATATCCGCACAAGATGAACGCCAAGACAAAGGAAAGAATACTAGAAGTTAAACGAAGGATACGTGGGCGTAAAATGAGCTCATCTGATAAAAAAAAGTTTGAAAGATTTGCAGCAGGAAGATTATGGGTGTGTCGCAGGTTTGCTCTTGAACCTCCTGAAGAAGAATCGATAAGCGTTGTATCTGAACCTACTCCAGAATTAAAATCCATCTTGAAACCCGGATCTACTTTTAAACCCCACGGCTCAAAACACGATCATTCTAAAAAACATCAGCAAAAGTCAAGTCACGATGTTGGTTCAAGGGAAGCTAAAGTACACTTTAAACCTGAGACTAGAATTCTTAGATATCTAAGTGAATCTAGCGCAACTCAAGAATATGATCTTCAACTTCTTCCACCAGAATCAAGGTTTGATAGACTCAAACGACAAATGCTAGAACTCATTGGATATAAAAAGTCTACTTGAATATTTCTACACAAACATCAGAACTAAAAGTGCATGGTAAATCAATGTTTGGATAATAAACTGCTTGGTAATTCAATTTCATTGTAAAACTGGAATCACGCTATCAACAACCTTGTTTAGAATATGTTGTACTGCAGTGTGTATATATGATTTATACTGTCAATTTGCATTTGTCATGTAAGCATTCAGTCTTGTTTGTCCAATAAACACCTTGCATTGTCACCACCATTTCAATGTAATAGTATGCTTGAATTGATCATATTGCACCAATCAGCTACTGTGCACTGAATGTATCAAATGGTGTCATGAAATGGTGGATAATATTCATAATTGAAGTATTGGCAGTCAGTGATTGAATGATACGATAGAATACCGCTGATCACTTTGTTGGTGACCAGTATCACATGTGGTCAATATCAATATGTTGCACAACAGTCATTCAAACAGGTTGGAGCATGCCATATTGTAGCAATGCAATCAAATTGGTACAACATATGTCAACATACATGTAGTGTAGTGTATTATACACTAGTAGTGATGATTCAACCAACGACATGCATGGTTGTAATATTATACGTGAAACCACATGCTCATGTCCATGTCTATGGTTATGGTGATATACAGCATTACAATGATGGGTCAGCAGCAATGTGATGGAACTGGATGTGCAATACCAAAACCATGCTCAGAATACGTGATATAACAACAACTTGCAGCCATATTGATGTAAATGGACCACCAAATAACAGTGTTGGTGTGTGATAAACAGTTGCATTACTGACATGTGTCATGATTGTTGTTGAACTAGATTGCGATCGTATCCGTGATTCAGAATACAACAAATGTGTGTACAGAGTTGTATTGACAACATTGACAGTCAAACACAATACATGAATGTGGGTTCAAACTTGGTGATCGTACAATGTATGATTACTAAGAGTGCACAAAGTGTAGATTCAACACTATAGTATGATTGTGTGTCATGATGATAGTCGTTGTATATCAAACACACAATGCAGTCAATGTGTAGTAACCATTGTATATTGCAGCACATAATACAGTCATTGCACAATGAATACGGTTGTAAATCAAAGCGTTTGCGGTTAAACAACACACTCATGAAGGGTGCTTTTCAACATACCTGATAAAAGGGTCGTAAAAGCATAATCCAATCGACACGATCATCAACTCAATTAATGTGATATTATGATTAGGGAGCAGCATACTGTCTAGTTTAATAGTAAACCACTACAAGAAATCAAGTAACCCTGTATTGCTGGTTAACCTAAAAGGGTTAGGGTTGGTTTGCTATACAAAACATACAAGTACAATCGAGTATGTTCAGTCTTATAATCAACACCAGTTTCAACACTCTACTTTTGTATTAATTGTTTAAACACACTGACCAATCTGATGAAATTGGTTGATATTTTACTTGTACTGACTGCGGCAGCAACCGCCAATGCAATACTTCCTCCAGCTGATAAAGATGGTTCACCCAAAGCATCAAGAACTTTGAGTCAAGTGTCTGGCCCAACCAGTGAACCCGATCCAAAGATTCTCGAAGAAGACTGGCAAAGCCTAATGGATGAAATTAATTCAAGAATTGTCAAAGAAAACTGGCAAAACATATTTGACCCGATTGATCCAAGCACTTTCAATCAAGATCAGCAACAACCAATATATATAGCTAGTCCGAGCACTCCCAAACGAAGTCGAAAACGGCCGATTGATCAACCCAGTTCAAGCATTTCCAAATATGATCAGCAACAATCGATAAATCAACCCGGCCCGAGTGCTTCAAAACAAAGTCGGAAACAATCAACTGATGAACCCGGTCCAAGCATTCCTGACAAAAACTGGCAACGCTTAATAGATGAAATCAATTCAGACGCTTTTGAAAGCTGGCAAGAACTGTTTGATATAGCTGGTTTAAATACTCTCAGTCAAGATCAACAGCATACAATGGATCAATCCAATCCAAGTACTTCCGGTCAAACCCAGCAACACTCAATGAATGCAATTGATTTAAGCATTTTTGACGAAAGCTGGCAACAATCAATGGACCAATCCAGCCCAAACACTCCCAAACGAGGTCGAAAACGGCCAATTGATCAACCCAATTCAAGTACTTTTAGACAAGATCAGCAACAACCAATGGGACAAGGCGAGTCTGCTAATACTAGTCCAAATCAAGCGACTGGATTAAAAGAAAGATATCAAAGAACTTTTGATCGTATAAAGAAAAGACTCGAGTTTTCTAAAGTAATACGAAACAAAAAACGTAAAGAATATTATGAATCTATGGGTCTTAAATTCAAGCAATGGTCAGCATTATCAATAGGTAAAAGCATACATGGATCAAAGTACAATCCAGACACTGAAAAGAAGTTGAAACAAGAGTATGTAGCAGCAAGGATAAAAGTAGCCAGTGTCAGATATGATTTGAAAGCATTTACGAAAAAGCATGGTTTGAAATATGAAGAGCCGGAATCAGATTCAGATTCAGATTGATGATGTGTCGATGAATTTGATTTTGAATAAATTTAAACTTTCTGATGTATTGGTGCTTGTCGAGTATTGTGAATGGGTCAACAACCATATCATTGATTGTGTATTGTGTTGGGTATTACATCAATAACCTGATAACAACCAGTGTTGATTATACGTGTAACTATCAGCCATACTTGCATGATACCACCAACTGGCCATGTCGTGTATTGTACAACAAACGGAGCAATACACTTGTTCAAGTCGGATGTAGATTGCAACATCAACTGGTTTGATATTGGTCAATTAGTGTTGTCAGTGTGCAATGTAATATATGCGGTGTTTATGCAGCATGGCATTTGTAGTGGTGTGTCATGGACTTTTGTTTAATTTCTTTCTTCCAATGATCGACATGCAAACAACAGTTACATTACTGACATGTGCCATCATTGTTGTTAAACTAGATCGTGATCGTATCCGTGATTCAGAATACAACAGAAACAACAAACACTGGTTCAAGACTACTTTAGTTCAAAATTATAGTTTGTGAGCATTATTGCATTGGTAATACATGGTATTGATTGAATACATATGATCCAAGTGTATCAATCATGGTATGCATTGTTTGAATCCATCACTGTATATCTGGATGATCATGTCGACACTGAATGTGCGATATCAACAGTTGGAATATGGTATACTGCTGCAAATACCATGATTATCACACTCCATTAGTATGTCTGATCATATTGCACCAATCAACCACTATACGATCAGTCAGACTATTGATGCAACCATTTTGACACCACAATCAACGAGTCAAATCAGTCAAATTGATCGAGTTGGTCGGATCTGATATCAACACACATGACTATTGTTGGTATTGGTGTTGCATGTGTCAATACGACATGACAAGCAATATCATATTGACACAATACACACATGCATGCCAACATCATCAATGTGTACAACTATGCAATATACAATCAACTGTATCGTATTGTATTGGAAGTACAAGTGTCAATATACAATATGATATCATGCCAACCAAGACTGTGTACAATGATCAGATATAATGCAATATCCAGTATCAATTATATTGTATTGTATTGTATTTTATTCAAACAAAAATACAATAAACACGGTTGAAACCAGTTCAGATTAACATTTCGATCAATCGGATGAATCACCCTTTTTGGGTCGATTCCTGCGTGATCCGAGGTTATTTCTAATGTTAGAAAGGCTCGATGTGTACTGGATGATGTTTGGGTGGGTTAAATTGTAGGCTTTTTGCTTGATGATGATGAACTTTTATGATGTTGTGATTGATTCTGGGTCTCACTAGTAGAGGCTTGCTCAGATCCTGGCTGTTGGTTTGGTACAGAATTGCCAAGCGTGCTGACGAGTTTCATAAACTCGGGAGTTGATTCCAAAAGTCCCGTGTAGTAACCGGCTGATTGATACAGATTTTCCCCAAACAAGTACTGCAAGAGTTGCGTTTGAATTTTACCTAATTTTATGCCAAGATTAACATAATCAGAATTTAGCAGCTTCATTGTAATTCTATGGAGACTTTTTCGTTCTTGTTTAAGATTCTGTCGAAGTTTCTTGAGTTTGCTCTTGTGCTTTGAACCATTCTTGCTACTCCCAGATTCATTTATCAACTCCTGAATTTCTTTACCCAGCTGTTCTACCAATTTTTTTTGAGAAAGTCTTTCAAGTTGTAGCGAGTCATGCATTTCCTTTGCATTGTTACGACTTTTCTTCGTCTGTGCGTACTCTTTGATTAAATCCATACCCTCCTCTGGAAGGTTGCTAAAATCAATTGAGGGTGTAGTTTGTGCACTGGGAATGATGGTTGAAGTGCTAGCTTCAGCACTTGTAGTTGTACTGGGATTGACTGGATTGGCTGTAGTAACCGAGCAAACAGCCAATATCGATGACAATACAACAATTGATAGTTTCATTATACTGGTTTGGTCGAGCAAGTTTTAATGGTTGTTATTTGACACGTCGGCTTTGGATCGTATTTATATCCACTACTGGACGGATAATATTAAAAGCACGTTCCTTGGATGGCCGTCCTAAGGGATTTGTGTTGCCAGGGTTAACGATGATTTGTCATCAATGTCCAACTTTTAAGGGATATCCATTTATATGGTGATCCGCAATTCTTGATCAAACTACTGTTTGACTATACATTCGAGTATCATATGGCTGATTATGCAGTTTTACACCCTTATTCACCCTAAAAAGGACTAGTGTGCCACAATATAGGAAACGAGTACAAACCAAGACTATATGCAACTGATCTAACATCCAGTTGTTGGATGGTCATCAATATGTGTTGTGGTTGGCATGATTCAAACATGTGGTTTAGTGATACTTTGCATTCAACTCGACACGATCAATCATCACTGCACATTGTCCAGTAATTCAATCAATCAACTGAATCAATACAATGCAATTCATGTTGCAATCACAATGTCACATTGATGATCAATGACTTGCAACTGTTGTGTTGGCATTGCATGTTGTGTGTTACTATATCAACATCGATTGTCACTGTATAGTTGTATCAACCACACATCATGATCATATGTCATGATTGACTCGTATTCTGGATTGATGCACTCATTCCACTCCATTCCATTCCATCACTCGAACACAAACATCGTATGACTTGTTGATTGCTAATACCCATATTGATCGAATACACACTACATGACACATGTCAGGTTAGCATATACATTCCACTATATAGCACATCATGTTGCTGATACCACGCATTGTGATTCAACAGTCAATCTGTATTCGAGTTCAACTACAATTGATCGTGTCAATCATAATATACACGACCAATTGTAGTCGAGTTGATCCGACTGAATAGAGTCCGAGTCATCATGTTCATATCAAACCATTGCAAACCATGACAAGTCTATTGTACAACTCCACTCGTGTTGATTACAACATGCTATTCAGAAATGTATCATATTGTCCTGTAATGACTGTACATGATTGTACATGGTTGTTTGCAGCCAGTAGCTCCGTTGATTGATATCCACAATATGATCCAGTAGTCGTCCAGATTGTGTGTTGTATTTGGTGTGTTGGGTGATGATATCAACCTGTAGTCAAGGTTTGACTATCTGAACATGTCGGTGACTTTTTACCAACTGTGTGCAACTCGATGTCCAATATCGAGTCATGTCATTGGTCAATTGATTGGTTCAATTCATCAGTGGGTTTGCTGGATCCATGTGGTGTGCAGCACTTTCAAGAGTATGTTGAATCTGTTGCAGTATTGGAACTTTGTAAACGGATCAACATACTAACCTGAGCATGACTGTGGTGGTTATTGCAGTCGAGTCGTAAAGCTTATTCTGGCAATCATTGATGGTTTCAACAATCATTTGAATAATCGTTTGAATGTCAGGTTATGGTATTCTGATTGACAACTCGACTCGAATACAACTTTGATTTGGACAATTACTGATCAATGGATTGGACAATGAACTAGCAATCAATCAACACATTGACAGATTTGTCATCCCAAATGGAAACAACGACAATCCAGTTGTAATCCATATTGAGCCTTGAATTCAAACAGTCGTGAATCAAATCATTAATAAACTACAAAAACAGTCCAATATGCCAACTCGCATTTATCCATGACTCGATATGTGATGTTCAAATGTCTAATATTCAGACTGTGCTGATTGCAATTGTGGTTGTAATTGTGGTTGTGTGTAAATATCAATCCAATACTCGATTCAATACTTGATTCAACTTGAACATGTACAGTTTTGTAGTAATCCATTTGATCACATTGACAGAATCAAGCAATGATTTGATTCAACAACACCAAATGATGCATCCATATCACTTGTATCAATCAATTGTACACAATCAGTCAATATAATCAACAGTCACTGTCATGATTGACATGATTCATTCAATCAAGTTCCTTTGCAAGAATATGGTCATGGTGTTTCGACTCGTTTGACAGGTGGATCTTTGGCGCCTTTGTGCATGTCGGGCCATGAAACTAGAGGTATGAGCAAAGGTTGGTCCGACATATTTGCCATGATTGTAACAGCCAAAGAATCCGACAAAGCCGACACGCCAGTTATCCTTGGAGCGTATATTATTAATAAACTCAAAGGTATTCGCTCGCATCCTTACACTACGGACATGAAAATCAACCCTTTGACATATGGCGACCTTAAAACCCGCACAGAGCTGCACGAGGCTGGTGAGGTGTGGGCAGCCATGCTTTGGGAAGTTTACTGGAACTTGGTCACCAAGAGTGGATTTTCTACCAATCTCTACGATGCCAAGGGCAAGGCTGGCAACATTGTTGCTATGCAGAATGTGATGGGTGGATTGATGCATCAGCCATGCAGTCCTAGCTTGGTCAATGCTCGTGATGCCATTATTGCGTCCGATGCAGCCTATTATAATGGGGCCAACAAGTGCGAGATTTGGAAGGGATTCGCCAAACGTGGTCTGGGAGTAAATGCAGCAGATTACACAAACGATTTCTCTGTTCCAGCAGAATGTAGTAGCGGTTCACCTCCACCTTTGACCACTACTCGTGGTCCTAAACCTACTTCTGGATGCACTCGCATGGACATTTGCTGCATCTATGTTGGAAAAAGCTGTGACCAAGACTAAATGCTCAAGTTTGGTAATGGCTTTTACAATTTATTAAATGAAAGTATATTGTAAAAATGTAAACAGTTTGTATTGGTATTGGTAATGATTATTTGGTTAGTGTTAATGGACTAATAGTATACTGTCATCTGGAAGTCAGTCTACACTTTCAGGCACGACATTATCATTCGTGTAGTGCAAGTTGGTTTACAGTTTATTAAAAACAAGCTGATTTTTACAAATGATCGAGATTGATTCATGGCAGTTAAACATCACTATTCAAACACATACAACAATCTTGTTTGAATCTAATAATCTAATTTTATTATTATTAATTTAAGATCATCATTTGGGCTTGGAATCTGTTACTTTCCCATCATTTTCCCAAAAGTTGTAGGAGGTTGCACTCTCTTTTGTTGCATGCGTAGAGCTTTGGCAGCTTGCTTTTGTGCCATGAGCTGATCCTTGACAGCTTGCTTTTGTTGCATGAGCTCAGCTTTGGCAGCTTGCTTTTGTGCCATGAGCTGATCTTTGGCAGCTTTCTTTTGATCTATGCGCTCATCTTTGGCAGCT